GAATAATGATTTTTGCTAGATTTCATCACAGAAAATACGTTTTGAAACGATTTTGATGATTTCAGAAAAAAAAATGAATGAATCAGGAATTCAGATATTTTATAGAAAAAAATACAAGAAATTATTGAAAAAGGTCAAAGATACAAAATATAATCCTACTGATTTCGAAACATTTTAAAAGTTCAATCTGACTTTCAGAAAGTGTCTGAAAGCATGTTATTAGCTGAAAAACCACCTGAAAAACAAGAAAAAATAGAAAAAGCAGGTGTCGAGTTTAACAAAAAAAGCTGAAACCAAAGAAAAAATGAATGAATCTACTGGTCGGATATAAATATAAAAATAAATATATATTCATATTTGAGAAAAACAAGACTTCTTTTCTTATTCTGCCTGCTGAAAAAAAGGAAGAAGAAGGAGGAAAAAAACAGAAGAGACATATCCGAATTTCTTCTTTTTTTTTTTTTTAGCTTTTTCTTTAGCTCATTTATAACACCACCCTCACCCCACCCTCTTTTTTTGCATCGGCTGTGCCTTTATAGATTTTTCGTTGTTTTGTTGAAGTCGTATGTCTGGAGGAAAGAATTGGAATAATGTTCATAAAAAATACAGCAAAAAATGGCTCATCAGTCGAAGCTTGCATCGGTTGCTATAGAGAGGAAAATTTGGAATTTTCGGGAAAAAAAAAATAAGTGAGGCACGAGAAAGAAAAAAGTAATTGTGGAGAATTTGATTTATGCCTTTTTTTTGCATCTTGTGTTATGTATGTAGAAAAAAAACGTTTTGAGCAGCAAAACAAACGAGAAGCGTGATGTGACGTGAAGAGGAGAACTATTTTAGACCACAGAAGATCGAAGGTCAAAAAAAATCTTGAGGGTGGGCTTTGAATAAGTAGCGGAGATTAAACTGAAGGATTTTAAGATAAATACTTTTGATCTACGGAAATAATTGTGGATTTTAGAACATGAAGAGTTCAAGAGATTTTTGACTAGAAACTTGATCTAGGGGAAGAACTTCGGATATCAGAACACTCAAAAAACTCCTGAATCCGTAGCACACTAAAACCTAGACGATCCAGACTTCAAACTCCGCCCCTCCTCAGCCCGACCAACCCATGCTCTTTTGAGATTTGGTTCCTTGAACTTTCACAAAAAAAAAAGTGTTTTCAGCACAGTCAATTAATCAAAAAACGTCAAGCATACAACAAAAAAAAGAAAGAAAAAAGAAAAGGAAAAGAATAATGTGTGTCATTAGTTCCTTAAACTTTACTCAATGATCTCAACAAATATTTCTCCATTATTTTTCTTTATCCACGCAAAAAAGCACAAAACCCCCCCCCCCCAATTTCCGTTCATGTGACAATTAAAGGTTCTTAAGTGATGTTGGCTAGAAATCACGTCAGAAGTTAGGACTTCAGGAAATCAAGAGTTTTAGAGAGAATAGAGGGACCCCTAAAAACATCATCGAAGCCCGCTATTTTCTCTAAAGCCCTCCAAGCAATTCAACTACCAAAAGAAAAAGCAAAGCAACAAAAAAAGACTTTAGGTGCAGTAGTGGTGAAAAAAAAGCTAAGCAAAAGGATAACTGATGGATTATGTATATTCAAGAGAGTGCGAAGACGATGTGCTGAAATAGATGGAGGCGCAGAGAGTGTGTTTTCACCGCCCCGCTTTTTTTTTCTTCTTCTTCTGGAGAAATGCGTGAATAAAAATAAAAAAAAAAGATGCACTGACATGAAAAAAGAGAACAACAAAAAGTGTGAAGTGTAGGAAAAACATGTTGGGTGGATTTTTTGGAAAATAATTCAGAGTAGATTTAGTTTTAAAATAAACGGTAGACGAATAATACCAAAAGCTTACATTTAGCCTTTAAAAAGTTGTCAGAAAAATTCTAGATTACTGTAATCCGAAAAAACTTAATCGCTAGCTCCTAAAATCTATTCAAAACCTCCAGTTTTACTTGAATAAAACTACTCAAAACCTCAAATTTTCAAAAACAATATTGAAAAACTCACTTTTCCTCCAGTTTTCCTCGAAATTCAAAACCATTCAACCAAAATTCGCTTCAATAACTGTTCCATCATTTCGCTGACGAGTTTTCCTGTAAAGTAGAAATTATTCAAATTTAAATAATTTTTATACAGAAGAAAAATTCAAGAAAACACATTTTTTCATAAAATCACTTTTTGAGCGCCACAAAACTATCGAAAATTAACTAAGCTTGTGTTTCTTGTACTAGGAAAATAGAGAAATATGAATTTTACAACAAGTTTCATTCAAATTCATGAAAAAACCACAAAAAATAAAAACAAGAAAAAACAAAAACAAGAAAATAAAAGTAATAATGGAAGCGCGCCCTATTGATAAAAACCGCACTCTCTCAAAAATGTGTGTGTTTACGACCTGCTGGTCATGATCCCGTCGTCTTGCAGAATTCGACTCCTAATGTGAGTCAAAATTATTAATTCGGAAAAATTATTGATTGAAATTTTTTAGGGTGGACTCATCTGCAAAGGAGATATGACTCTCGGGAAGTATCACGACCCATTTGGGCACCGCAAGTCGCTCATCCTGACCTTTGCGAGTTATTCGTCTACGATTTGTTATCGGCAAACTTTGGAATTGATGGGATGGGGATAAGAATGTCTGAAAAGTCGATTTCCAGGTAAATTGAATCTAATTTTGCTAAACCTTTAAAAAAATATCGATGTTCGATGAGATATTTGTGTAATCAGTAATGAAATATTTATTCTCTATTATTTTTTTTACAAAAAATCCCAAGTTTCCATCTCTAGAAAACTTCAAAAAAAATTCCAGTGCTTTATTCTCCAGTGCCATCCTTTCTGGATGAATGCAAAGAAGAAAAAAAATACAATTATTTTATTTGGTCGAAGATGAACTCTTTTTCTTATTCATGAATAAAAAATATGAATATTTGAAAGGAACGGGTAATAAAACTCTAATGAAAAAAAGAATTTTGTCAATAAAAATGGAAATTGGAAAATTTTTATTATTAAAATTTGAATCGTAATGAAAATCTTCTCTTTTTTTGCACAAATCCTTTTATAGTAAATTAATCTCCAAAATGACGAAAGGAATCATCAAAAATCTCGATTTGTTTTGTATGCAACTGCACATAAAAGGTCACAAATATATATATTTACCGGAAGTTTTTTTGATTCAATTTTATAACAAATAAAAAAATCGTCAAAAAATTGTATTTGCATAATGATCATAAGTGTTTATTCAATTTTTCATCCAATTTTTTGTTCATCTTCTCAGATTTGTTATTATCGGATTTTTTTTGAGTTTTATAGATAGATACGAGAATTGAATGAAAAAAGTGGTGTTCGATTTGTGTTTTTCTTTTAGTGCCTTGAGTGCTAAATCAACAAGATTACGATTTGAAATTTGTAGTGAATAAAGAAATCAGTAATTTTTTGTGTGTTTTTTTTTTTGATGGAAGATCGAGGTAAAATTTGATTTTGCTATATTTTTGATGGCTAAATTCAGATTTTGTCATGTGAAATTTTGACCAAGAATTTTTTAATTTTCAAAACCAATTCAATCATGTTCCAAATGTTTTTCACTCTTTCCAATAAGTGCAAAAACACATCGAAAAATTCAGCAGATCAGAAATCTTTATCCAAATTATATTTACGCCATTAAAGAAACAAAGCACATTTAGAATTTTTTTTTTCCTTCCACCAAAAAAAATCCGCTTTTTCATTCTCTTGTTTTTTAGGGTATCAGCAAATAGAAATTTATCCAAATACACTTGTATCAATCATGTCCTTTCTCGACATAATAAAAAACCGAAGCTCGTGATCATTTTGTTTCTCAATCATTTCTATCATTGTCTACGGTGTTTCTTCCATTTTTCTATAGCTCAATTTTTTTGAAAGTTTTGCGGTAGATCAAAAATAATGTTTTCTAATTCACTTTTCAACAAAAAATTGAAAGTCCTTTGCAATTGAAACGTTGAAGTGCTTGCTCTTTCCTGACCCATAGAAAAAAAATTGGATGTTTTTTGAACATACAATAAAATGTGCATAGTTATTTGCATATAAGGGCGCGGAAAACGATTTGCGCGGGTTATTATTGGAATATTTTCATGTGCATTTGCATGTTTTGATAATATATTTTCAGATATGAATCATTGGGGATTATCTTTCCTGTTTTTTTGTGGACACTGTGTTTGGGTTTTTGCTGGCACATTTTTGTTGTGTATTGAAACTGGATTTTTAGTTTTTTTTTTTCTTGGGAATGCTTTCAAAAAATTTTAATTTTTCTTGAACTATTTCAGAACCTAAAAAAAGGTTTTAGCTAAAGAATAATAAATCTTAAGTTGAGCAACTTTGATAAATCTTGCTGCTGTGAAATTTTTTAAAATGTTATAGCCACTTTTGAAAAAAAAAACTAGAAGATTTTGAGCAATCTTCAAATTTATCTCAAAACCTAGATTCAGAATTTTTATAATATTCTATAAAAAATTGCGATTTTGAGAGAAAATGAAAATTTTGAAATTTGAAAATTTTTCTGAATCTCTAGATTTTCCATAAAAAATCGTCGAATTCAGGCCAACTTCAAGACTTTTGCCAGGCCCGGAAATGTTTTGGGTTGCAAAATGTTTCCCTATTCCTCAGCTGTTTTTTGAACACTTCCTTTTCTTCAAGCGCGCGTAAAGCACTCAAAGACTACAACACAAATCAGTCTAGAAACTCAATGTCCACTTGAGATAAGTGTGCATCTTATCACAATAGTACTACATACTCGTACAAAAAACATATGCGCGCGCGTAGCGTAAAAAATCCTGTCGGCAAAATCCCTCACAACAATAATAATACAGTTAAAATGGGCGGAGCCAATTGACCATCCTGCCAAAGTTTCTTGTTTACTTTCACCTTCAGATCTCTTCCGCCTAGAGCAAAGAGAGCATGTGTTTGATCTTTATTTTTTGATTCATTTTGAATTTCGACTAGTCTCTATTTTATTTTCAGAGACATGAAATCATTTATTTTGGCTATTTGTGTTGGATTTGTGCTCACCTTTGAGGGCCGTAAGTTAAAGGGAGGAAGTTAGGATAACTCCGAAATACTACTCTCAAGATAAACCTCATTTTTTTCCAGAAATGTCTTGGTGTGATTATTGGAACCATCGAGGAATCGCAAAAGCTGAATGCCATCCAGCCAAACTTCAACATTGGTCACTTCCATCATCTACACATAGACAACAACAACATCAAGAAAAACTCGTATTAGCCATGCCAATTTGTGATCTTGTTACTGATTGGTCAAGATGTCAAAACTCAAATCATTGTCCTCTCGGACTCCTTTGCTGGCGGCAAGAATCTGGAAGTCCATGTTGCACACCTCAATTGAATAAGATTATAAATCAAGACAATGAGCAATGCCCTGCTCCTTCTACTTTAGGTATTCAATGTAATGTTAAAGTGAGTTCCTGCCAGGAACTTCCTGGGAAAATATTTAGGATATGAATTAATTTGCGGTTTTCAGAATCCTATCAGTTGGTGTAATCATGATATGGATTGTCATCGATCTTCAGCTGTTCAAAAATGTTGTCCTTCTGGATGTGGATATAATTTATGCCTTCAAACTACTTCAAACTTCAAACAGATGAATATGAGATGTTAGTTTTGGGCTCGGGTTAATTTTTTTTTGAAAATTCTAGTTGAGTTAATGGTGGACATAAGAGATCAAGAAAAACAATTTTTGTGAAAAGTTTGAGATAAAATTATTTTTGATCTACCAGACATTAAGAAAACCTAAAAATTCCCCTTTTCCAGTAGCGGCTATGTCAATTGTACCGGATAACTGTCCACCAATGGATTCAATCGCTGTCTCATGTGTCGCTTATGGTGTCAGTTGGTGTCAAAACAGCAATCAATGCCTACAAAACGGTGTTCAAACTCGTTCATGTTGTCCAACTCGTTGCGGATATAATGTATGTCTTTTGAAATTATCACCAACAAATTGGATTATTGCTTGATTTTCAACGATTTTTAGCATCAAATTACCTCCAATTCACTTAATATTTTTTACGTGTTATGTTATTCTATGTATAAATTATTACAAAATCAGTTTATTTATCAAATTCAAAATTCTAGGTACAGTATTGGAATCAAGTAGAAATACGTATGGAATGTTATGACTAGGAGATTTCTATGAAACGAAACAAAAATATAAATAATCTATAGATCATGAAAGATGAGGTTTCCCCATTGAGATAACAATTTTTCGACCATTCCTCTAGCATTCGGATCTGCCGATTCCATGAAAGCTGTGTGACCACCATGATTAGTGATAATACCGACAACATGCTCACTTTCCATTATATCATTCACAGGGATGCCTGAAATCATAGAATCTAGAATTAAATTCGCCTTCTTTGAAACTCCACTTACATTCAACTGGACTGAAATAGTCATCAACAGCATTCAAAGTGACAACAGGAATCTTGATTTTGTCAACTTTGGTTCGCAAAGTGGCAAGTTTATAATAAGTTTCATAATTTTCGAAACCGAACATTGGAGTGACGAAAGATTTGTCGAATGCGCGAACAGATGTGGATTTTAAAACTTCATCGAAGTCAACGGTTTTTTGGAATAATTCTCGGTATCTGGAAAACATTTTGGGTTAGGCAAAAAAGTTGGGGTAACTCTTGAATTAAAAAAAACATACGGTTTAACAATATCAACAAGATTCTTGGCAATAAATCGATTAAAGATCAATTGTGGAATAAATTGTTCAATCGAATCCGAAGCAATCATTGGATCCCATGGTGATGAAACAATCATACCACCATCAAGATGAGCATTCTCGCCTACCATTGCAAGATAGTTCCAGAGAATCATTCTGAATAAATAGAAATTTGATATCAGTTGTTGGTGTTGTTTGAAAGAACAAATAAAGCGAAATAAACAAACCCTCCCATTGAAAATCCACATCCTAGTTTCTTTGCGTTCGGATAGCGTTCATGAACCATTTGTGCGATTTGGGCAAAGTCGTGGGGAGTGGCAGCGTTGTAGGTTCTGTAGAAGAAAGTGTTGAACACATTTCCCATTTCCTAACTCACTTGGTGGTCCGAAGTTTAACTCCACCAAGACCTCTTGGATTCACCACCAAACATTTCCATCCCTTATCTCTTGCTTCAATAACTGGATGAAGAACATAACTGGCGTCATGGGTACTACCTGAAATTGTATTTTAGTTACGTTTCCCTGGGCAACAACTAACCAGTGATCCCTGGCAAGAAAACAACAATCGGTGTGTTGTCGTCAGCTCCTTCTGGAATGAGCCAATCGATTCCAGCTGCACCGCCATCGTCGAATTCCACGATTTCTCTGGAAGGAAAACTTGGAGACAAAGTTCGTCTCTTATCAATTTGATGTTGCAGTTAACTTTATATGAACACTGATAAAATATAAAACACTACAGACAAAGTGGCATGTAAATTATTTATGATTTTTTCCAGGAGAGAAAGAGCGGGAGGTCAAAAGTTCAGGGGAAGTTTGAGCCATCTGTGAAAATTTACTAGATTCTGATAAGGGTTTCCCTGGGAACTGAAGATCCTAAACCTGCTCCTGTGTAAAACTGACCTTTGGAATGGAAGTTTTGGACAATCCCTGAAGATTTGTCTAACAATCGTTTGAGTTGTTCCAAATGGACACCACCAACTTGGATGATATGGTTCATGCAATAACATTAAATTTTTTTGTACTTTATCATATAATCTTGTACCGTATTTTGCATAACTTTTGGGAACCTGGAATATTTATATATATATATATATTTTTCAATTTTTTCAAGAGATTCCAAACTCACTGCTGATATATACCAAGAATAGAGCCATATTAAAATTGGTGTGAAAAGAATGAATGTGCAAATGAATACCAGTACCATTTTGGTTTAATTCTGAAAATCTTCAAGATTGAAAATAATTTTGGAACAAAATAATTATTTGGTCTTCACCGAAAAAGGTGGTGTGATAAAATGAAAATTGTTCTGTGTAGAAGACCATCGGAAAAAAGAACTAAATCGTTTGTAAAGAAATGAAGATAAGAAAAGTTGTCACTTTGAATTTTAGATAAATTTATAAAAAGTAAGAAGTGCAATTATGGTGAGATGATGTAAAAATAGATATTTTTTTGCTTCGCTTCGCTTCGAGAGAGAGAGAGAAATCTAAGGGGAAATTGAAAAATAGATATTTTTAGTTATCAAAAATACAAGTGAAAAACAATTATTGTTTTGGCCAGGGCTGTCTGAAAATTATAGGATTAAAGCAACACCCTCGTATAATAAGGACATTGCGGAATGCATTCAAACACCAAAATTTATAAAATTAACCTATCCAGCTTTCTTCACAAGCAACATGAAAAAGAAATACTCAAAAACGATCAAATTTGACCACTTTTGAGAAAAAAAAATATTTTTTTTTGAAAATTGCCTGCAGATTGTGCAGATCCGCAATTTCATGAAATTTGTGCAAACACTGTGACGACAATTGTGTGCTACAGTACCCCTTTCAACTTTTTTTCCACAAAAAGTGAATTGTTTCACTGAAAACATTGAAATAATTTATAACAATGATTTCTGAACATCCTTAGCTATCTCTACTTTCATTTTTGATAACGATATTTCAGTTTCGTATTGCATATTCTGGTCAAAAACTAAAAAAACACAATTTCCATTGAAAAATGTAGTTTTCGTCTGAAATATTGAATCTTAGTGTTTATACTTCTTCAATTTATTTTTTTCATACCCAGAAAACAGTTTTTTCCATGCAAATTGTCATTTTCCGAAAAAACGGAAAAATTTTGCGAAAAAATAAAAAAGAAAACAACGAGAATCCGCGTTGACGCTAGCCCGCGTTGTTTGAATTTGAGTTTTTTCAGTTTTTCAATAGGCTTCCATATTTCGGCGACTACTTATTGAAACGTTTTGAATGTTTTCTCCGAACTAGAAAACAGTAAAACTAAGCTAAATCTAAGATTTGAGAACATTTGGGCTTTTTTCAAGAAAGTGCCTATTATACGAGGGTGTTGCTTTAATGATCATATTAACAAGTCTTTCAGAATTTTCCGCAACAACTAAAGAAAACAAACAATTTAAAAAAAAAACGCGGGCAATTTTTTTCTCTGCAAAAATACACAGCTCTCTTTTCTTCCTCACTATCTCTTCATTGATTTTACTCTTTTTTTTCTCCAAATATTTTTTGAACATGTGAAGAAGAGAGAAAGACTACATTGTAGCGTTGCTTTATTTTATGGGAAGAATAATGTGTTTTTTGGATACCTGAAGGATGCCTGAATGAAATGGAAAAAGAAACAAAAAATTTGGAGATTAATAAATAAATGTAACAAAAAATGCAGTTTTATCAGTTCATTATTTGATAAAAAATAAAAAGTTGAGTACTTTGAGTGATTCACGTGAACAATCTATTTTTCTTTGCAAAGTGAGAAGAAATTATGAAAAATAAGGCGTGGATCCTTGCCTTATGAAAAGCCCTCAAGGAGTGGCTCCCTGACACATTAAAAAGCCCTCGAGGTGTGGCTTCTTGGGTTATAGAAAAACCTCACGGAGTGGATCGTTGGCATATGAAAAGCCCTCAAGGCGTGGCTCCTTGGCTTATGAAATGCTCTCAAGGTGTGGCCCCTTGGCTTATGAAAAGCTCTCAAGGAGTGGCTTCTTGACACATGAAAAAGCCAACTTGCTAGCTACATATTTTCAAAACATAGCCGCTCGGCTATGAGACTTTTTTAAGAGACGCAGACACAACGATAAATATGTGTCAACCTTTTCTAAAAATCCCACAATCCCTTTCGAGTAAAAAAACATCTATGCGGATTAAAGTTTTATGTAGAATGTGAGAAAAAAAATGCAGTTTTTTTTTCAAATGCTGAAAATTGTTTCAAATTATTTTTCAGGGACAGCGTTAAATGATTATGTTCAAGACGAAATACAGTGTTTTGTAAGGCGCGGAAACATAAAACAATATGATACGAAGAACTTTTGAAATTGATTCTAACAAGATTTTTCGGAATTCTCTGGAGAAGATCAAAAATAGTTGATTTTTAAAAATCTTCCACGGTTTCATTGAAGTCTCCCAATTTTAATACAGTTTGCGTCAGATCTCAAGATTGCGGGGAACTTTTTGATATAAAATAAAACTTTACAAACTCCTGATCTAATTTTTGAGATTTTCACTTTGAACTGAACAGTTTCGGGAAACTGTCTGTAAGATTTTCAATCTTTTATTGAAAATTTTCGTTGGATTTTGTGTAACAATGAAACTTTTTGATCTTTTTAAATCAAAAATGACAATCGAATTTTTTTTTTGAAAAAAAGGCAAAGTTCTAAATTACAAAAAAATCATAAAACTTGATTAGTTTTACCGTATGTTGTCAGGTTTTTTCAGTAAATTATTCCGGAAATTTTCCACCATACAATTACTTCACATAAAACGGCTTGTACCTTTTTACAACAGTTCAATTTGCAAACTGTCTATTACACTTTTCCAAAAATTATCGGTTCTACCCCCTTACCAATCTCATTTTTCATCGTGGTGTTATTCTTTTACTGGAACTGAATTTCAAAAAAAAAGTTCATTCTGTTTTTTCCACCCTGTTTAGTTAGAAAAACTGGTTAGATGATCATCAAAAACACTTGAGATACTCTAACAAAATTTTTTTTTTTCAAATTTGCATACATTCAAGAAAGATAAAAATCTTTGAAATTGAAAAAAACATCGTTCTTTTTTATTGAAGTACTATTTGAAGTTATCTAATAAATAATACCAACCAAAATCTAATTTGACCATGACTTTTGTAGTGATATCAGATTGAGATTCGGTCAAGAGATAAAAAAAAAGGACGATTCGATTCTTTCACGCCCACGCTCCTTTTTCTTTTGCCTTTTTTATTAAAAAAATGTGTTTCATTCTTGATATCATGAAGAATATAGGGCAAGTCTGAATGCTTTTTTTTTATTTATTTTTGAGATCTCAAACGCCCTGGTGTTTTTTGAATTAAAATATTTTTTGTACGAGTATGCCTAGTAGATTGTGAAAGAGTCCAAAGTAATATATTTCGGTTCATATTTTAATATTGAAATTAGGGTTGAGCTAACTCCTTAAGTAGTCTTAAGGTTTTCAGGCTTCAGCTAGTCTAAACTCCCAGTAAAATTGTATAAAAAATTAGACAGGAGTACATTTTTGATTTTCGGACGTCTCTATGAAAATCAATATAGTTTTCTGCATGGGAAAATGATTTAATTTAGTTGAATTTTATAACATATGAGAAAAAACAGATAGTTTTTCCGATTTTCTGTCAATTTTACAGATCTTAATTTGATCTATTTAATTGTAAGGTTCAGTTTTGTTTTCATTTTAACATTTTTTCCAATTCTGAAACGAATTAGCTTGTGAATTGATGAAATCTGGAAGGATTTTTTTAGAATATAGATACAATGTAGGGTACAATATACCTTTTTTTGGCTAGTTCGCAGTAAAAAAGTTTATTTTCTTGGTCACGTATTGAATGGGTAGATCAAAAATATATTTTTCCTATTTGATTCAAGTTTATTCCAAAGTCTTGTCAAAGCTCGAATAATCCACAAAACTTTTTCCAAAATAAATGTAAACCCACCAAATTAGTCTTCTAATATATCTCACAAAAATTATTTTAATTACCTTCACCTTCACCTCTAATTAAAAAACCAAACACACACACACACGCAGAACAATTCGAGTCATCATACCCAAAACACAAGAAAAACAACGAGCTAAAATCAATCGACCCAAGGTCATCTTACGCACACATTTTCGCGCATCCCTCAACATGACTGACCGATTTTTATCCCCCTTCTTCCTACATACATACATATTTTTGTTTTCCTTTTGTGTTCTGTTTTTTTACCTTTTGGTGGTGGATAGATTATTGTTGAATGTTTCCGGGAAGATTTTTCTTTTTCAAAAATATGTGAAATGTTTCTAATTTTTAACCTTGCAGGGTTCTTATTCACCGAAGAGGAAAAAATGAGTTTTATGAACTATTTTTTCACACTGGATGCTATTTTTGCGTCAATTTCGGGATTTTTGTTATACGTTGCCCCTCACTACTTTGCAGATGCTCTTTTTGTGAGTTTTGAGAGATCTTTGAATAGGGTTTCAAAAAAAGAAGATTTTTTATTTAAAAAAAATGATAAAGATTTTCAAATATTGAATATTTTTGAAACAAAATCAATCACAACAGTCAAAATCCATCTATTTAGCTCAACTCGAACGTGGAAAATTTTAGAATCCAGTTTTTTAATTTTCGCGAAGGGTTAACTCATATTAAAAAAATTGCGCTAACTAGTTTTTGATAAAAAACATTTTTCATAAAAACTGAAAAAATGTTCAAATTTTTTTTCAAAATGACTTAACTGATCCTGAATTATTCAAACTGAAAGAAATTCCAAAAATTCTAAAAAAAATTGAAAATAAAATTTATTCCAGCAACGACAAACTGACGGAGTTCATTGGCATTTGATGAGATGTGTCGGTGGTCAGATCTTCGCCTCTTCTTTCGTCGCATACAGATTCAGAACATCTAGCCCAGTTTCCCAATCTGTTTGTCATTTCATCCGTTTGATTGTGAGTTTTCTGTAGATTTCTGGAGGGAATATTCAGGCTTCAAAATTTGTTTAAATATTCAGAATGTCCGACTTTAAATCTGACCAAATTTGCTCCAAAAATTGAAAAAAAAAATATTTTCAGCCATCAATTCTTCTTCTAGTCCTCATTTTCCAAATCCAATCAATGACTCCTGATCTTGTTCCAACTACTGTAAGTTATTTGTTTCTTTTCCCACTCTAAATCTAGTTTGATTCCAACGCTTGCTCATATTCCAGTTCTTGAAAGCTCTCAAATATTTGATGTTCGGAACTGTTGCCACCCATTTCCTGTTCTTATCAAAATCCGGCTGGTTAACCGGTCAACGTTTGGCAGTCGAGAACAAATTCGGCAACTTTTTATATCAATTAGACTCATTGGCCTCAATTTGCATTGGTGTCGCCTGGATGACATTCCCAAAATGGTTGCTTCATCGTCAAGTTTTGGTGGAATTAGATGAATCACACGAATTGTTGGGACGAGTTATGGGAGCCAATTTCATCTCGTCGTTTATTGTTTCAACACACGCTTTGTATTTTGAGTCGAGAAATGATCGAAATATTGCTGTTGATAGTCGTGTTGTGGTGAGTTATTGATTTTTTTTTCAAAATTATTATATGGGCCTTACTTAAGTGGGCGTGGCTTATATGCAACTATCGCACACAATATTTGAACGTCGTAGGTGGTCTCAGCTTACGAAGTTAGCTTTTCAAAAATCCCTTATGTATGTCTGAACAAAATGTTCACCTCTAGAAGATTTTTGATTTTCTGAAAAATGTAGGGGGGTTTTTGGAGTCTGAACTTTTGAGAGAATTCATTTTTCGAGCTCAATTCAATGTATCAGAATTATTCTAAATTTACAGTTAACTTATAAACTTTTTTCAGAACTTGACTTAGCTCAAGTCAATCCACCAGAAAGCGATCCTTGTATTTTTTTCTGAAATTTCCTTTTCTGTCTGAAAGCCCTTTATATTCGCAAAAAAAAATGTTTCCCGAGGGCAGATTTTTTTTTCAAAAGTATATAACTTCGAAACAGAAGTTCAGTACAATTCACACGTTTTTTGTGTTCAAAATTTTTTATAAAACGTAAAGCAGTAACTATGAGAACGGATTATTTCTTGCCGAGCTACAATTTCACCTTCCCAACAGATAGATAATTATTATTTACCCATTCTATATCTTTGCGATACGAAACAAAACGCCAATTAAAATCATGCGGGGTGTGACACCTGAAATTAAATTTCCTGCCGCTTTTCGAGTAATAGGCAACCTAGGCAACCACTCTCATCTCTTTTGTTTTACATTTTATATATACGCTTCTTCTTTTTTCAGATTTGATATATACTTTTATTTGAAAATTTAAACTTTCATTTTCATAATTCAAAATGTTTTGTTTCAGTGCTGCATTTCTATTCTTGGTGGTCAATTATGGTCCCAAACATACGAACATTGGTCCGGAAATCATTGGATCGGAATCACTCTATTCTCAACATGGACTGTCATTTCATTGATCTACAGAAGCTATCTGACATTCACCACCAACACAAAATCAACAATTAAAAAATCGCAATAAATGCCAAATCTCAACAAGTCTCCAAGCATCTCTTCCAGATTCAAATAGCTTTTTTTTCTTCAATTTATTTTTCATTTAATTTTTGTGTGTTTTTTTTTCGACATCAAGGCAACGCTGTGATATGATTCTATTCCCCTTCCCCCCAAAATGCCCCCAATTTTTTTTGTGAAATGTTTTGATTTTTTATAAACGAATAAACAAGTTAGATTAAAAAGAAGAATGGTGCAATTAAAGCGAAAAATGAGAAACTGATGGATGAAGAAGCTGGAATATATTTTTTGTCAAATTCAACTGGTGTACTGTAGTTTTGATTTCGAACAAAGTTTTGGAACATTTGGAAGGTTTCTTTTGGTTTTTGCTCGGTTGCCGCTGGGAAATGACCACCTCCTTTGATTGTTACCAATTCGACGCCTGGAAAATTATTGGTTTTTTTGTGATTGGAGATTTGGAATAACTAATGAAGCTGGGGATTCATTGATTTTTTTTGAAGACCTTTTTGAAGGGATTTTTTTCAATTTTGAATTCATTTTTTTTTATTTCGAAATTTCGATTTTACATTCCAGGTTTGTTTATGATACTTTTGTAAATCTCGAAATTTTTTAGAGGTTTCACTAACCTAAGCGGAAAAAGCTAAACAAAATCTTTTGAGTTATCACAAAAAACTAAAAAAAAATTTCTGGTTCAGAAATTTGTTTTCAGAATGTTTCTAGAAATTAATTTAGTTGTTGTAATGCTGAAAATTTTGTGCCAGAAAATGTTTCCAAGATTTTTGATTTTCTCACGAGTTCTCAAAACTTTTCAAAACCTCGAAAATTCCTATCCCAACCACCCTGTAAATTTACTAACCATCATATTTTGTCCACAATCCAATTGATGTTGGCAATTGAACTGGATCATGATAGGAAGTGGCTCCAAAAATAAGTGTTCGATTCAAATTCAACTTCAAAAATTGGGCATTCTGCACAACGTTACAAAGTGTATCAGCATCTCCGTTAAACAGAGTTACACGTTTTTTAGCATTGATTACTGTATTGAAAAAATCTGTCATAGTCGTGTATTGGGAAACGTAGACTTCTCCGATTTTATAGCTAAATATTTGTGGTTTGGTGGTGTATCTTTATAAACTAAAAAAACATACTTGCACATGGCATAGGCTGGAACATAATCTGGAATTCTTAAAGCAGCTCGAACTTCTAGAGTATTCAGGTATGGAATATGATCATCGTGGGAGGCACAATCAGGTTGGCCAGCAATATCAATCTGAAAATATTAATGAAAATCAAAGTTTCCTCTTTGAAAATGACTAACCGAAGGTGTTCTCATATTTTGATTGAACTTTTTCATCATCAATCTTTGTGTTTGTAGTCTTTGAATCTCTTCATGTGGTGGATATGGAAGATCAGGATTCAAATAACACGCAAAATATAGAAAATATGGATCATATCCAGCGTAGTATTTAGCATAACTCATATTTTCAATACTCTGTCCACAGGTTGTATTTTGATATTGATCTGCGGTGTATTTGTAGAAGTTGCAATCTATAGACGATCCACAGCAAGAATTCAACACTCCTTGGAATTGTCTGAAATTAAGTAAAGGTAAAGGGGCAAATATATAGGCTAAATCTCACGTTTCATCGATCAAACCATGATAATATTGATACATAATATCTGCATTGAAATTGATTTTATCATCAAGGCAGCCATTTCCAATTAGCATTCCTTTGAAATTCGGGAAAGATGTTGAATTGGTGATTTTTGCAGATAGCATTGGTACATATGTTCCAGCGTAGGATTCACCGGCAATGTAGAATGAGTTGATTGCAAATTCAGGGAAGCGCTGGGAAACAATTCAGTTTGGAGATAATGCCGGAGGTTTCAGGGCCATCAAGAATTCGAATATGAGAGTGTCTTGACTTTGGTTTTTCAAATTCTGAGATTAAAATTTAAAATTTTGGTCTCAAAAAGGTCAAAAATTAAGCAGAAAATTCAGAATTATGAAATTAATATTTTTTAAATTTTGTAATCTGACAGATTTTGGGTTCCTATCCCAATTCTAGGCTCTAAAAAATGCAAATTAAAAAAAATCCATACCTTGAACCACAATGCCAACGCATCAAAATTATCACTCGCAACTTGATCATCAGTATAGGTCAAATTATTTGAGTTATAGTAAGAATATCCAACACCAGCTGGAGCATCCAAATAAATTATGTTAGCAATCTGAGAAAAAAACATGTCTTTGCAGATAAAGCTCTAAAAAAACGTACTCTATTCCAAGTCCATGGATTTCTATCAACCTTCTCTCCATAATTTCTAACTCTAAATGGTCCCATTTCAATAAATAGCCCCTCCATCGATGCACAACCTGGTCCACCATTGAGCCATAAGATTAAAGGATCATTTGATGGATCATTTTCAGATTCAACGAACCTACAAGACAGAAAAAAATTGAGTTGAGAATAAAACTCTAGAAAATTACCAATAAAACAGTTGTTTTTGATCACTAATTGGCAAATATCCATTATAATGTTTTGATCTGAATGGTTCGGTCAAATTTGGAAGTGACTGAAAAAATTTTTGGAAAATGTATATAAAAATTTGAAGCTGAAACTTACAGTAAGCTCTTCATTTTGTGGAGCAGCAGAAATGAATTGAAAAGGTAACAAAAAGAAAGAAAGAATGAGAAATTGCATGTTTTTCTGAAAGAAAATTGGGTGGGTAAACACAAAGGTCAAAAAGTATGTGGAGAAAAAGTAGGGGGAAAGAGAAGAGGTGTTATCTTTTTTGTGGTTAATTTTGATGTGCGAAAAATAAAAATTTTTGGCAACAAAGAGCAAATTTTGTGAGGCAATAGTTTTTAGAAAAATATGTTTCTTAACGATTTCTATTTAATGAAAAAATTATACCCCAGAGAAGCTCCACTTCTTTCAAAAATATATATCAATGCCAAGTTTTCAAAAAAAAAAAATTCCAAAATAACTAGATTGTCATCAAAAAGCTTACAATTCCCTTTTTATCAGTTTCAATTTTTATCGTAATCCTTCTTTTCTCTCGAAAAACTATATGATGTAAAAACTGTCTTTCATAAATATTTATATTAGAGATCAAAATATGAGATTGCAAAAAAATCTACTGTCATTATTATGAAAAAATATATAAATATAAATATATATTGTTACCTAGAACAGCAAAAAAAACAAATAATTTTGAGAAAAGCAAAAGAATGGGGCAATATGGAAAAGAAAGAAAACATTGATCACAAATAGGACCACCATGACAAAATTTTTTAAATGTAAAATAAATTTTATTTATGAATTTATAGAATCTCGATCAAATTCAACTGCAGAATGATGCTCTTTTACAATTTCGATTTCTTCCTTGGATTCTTTTTTCTTTTCTCGACCCAAAGAATGGCGACGTTCAAATCTGAAAAAAAATTTCAGAATATCAAAGAAATCTCACTCAAAAACCTACTTTATCAGACTCCTACTGATTTTTTTCTGAAGATTTTTACTGAACGAAAATTTGCTGTTTGATGTCAAATCAATTTCTGGAGATGCAAGGGGAGCTTCTCCTTTTTGTCGGGAAGAACTGCATTGCGAAGATGACCTGGGAAAATAAAATTGTAGGTTTTTGTTGAATTTTTCAGAAAGAAAATAATTTTGATTTGCAGCTTCAATTCAGAAATTCCTCTCCTGATAAGCCAATGACAAATTTTCATGCAAAATTACCTGTTGATGTGTTCTTTCAGATGTGGCTCTCTGTGGAATCGATAACTCCTCGAATGTGTTGGTTTTCGTAACATTTGAGCCTGAATTTTTTCAAAATTTTCAACTTTTTTAAAATTTCACAATCTTTATTTTCTGGGAAAAGAAAAAGTATGAACTAATTTGATTTTTTCGAAAAATGGACAAAAAAATCAAAAAGAAAAAAAAAAATGGTAATCATAAAATTGATAATACAGCTTCTTATACATAAATAATATATAGATTTTCGTTTACCGAGAAAAAAGAGATCACTGTGTTGAACGGGGGCGAGTTATGCTAACTTAGAAAGATTTTGTACATCAACTAAGATGCGAGACAAAAAAAAGTCGTTGAATGTTTTTTGTAGGAAATCAGAAAAAGAAAGAATGAAAATGGAATGTTTTTTTTTTGAAAAAAATACTAAATGTGCAAAACTACTGAAGACTTGTGAGGTTGTGTTTTTCCAATAAAAATAATTATATTACAACTTATCCTACCATGAGTCCTAGCGGTTTTTAAAAAAAATATTATATTATATATTAAAAATAATAATAATAATTTCGTCTCCTATACACTGTCTTTACAGTTTTCGATGATAATCCCATTAATGTTTTTTAGTACTTTAAGTTTCGTTAAATCAAGATTATGAATAATTATAAAAATAAATAAATTACACACAATACACACGCCAGAATTGCGACATTAAGCTCAGCTCAAAAAAAAATTAGGATCTTGTTGTTTTTTTTTGTGGAAAGTTATTTGGGTGGCAGAGGGGAAGGTGAAATGATGAAAAAATATTAATAAATAAATTAATAAAAATGAAAATCATTAAAACGAAGTTATTTTGTTGATTCACAAAAACGCATCGCCTTCTTCATCCGAATCTCCCAACGCGTCCGGCGTCGATTTTCCATGCGATGGATCGCCAAGTGACGACGGTACACCCAATGGTCCAGATGGACTGCCCTCTGACGCAACAGCGCGCACTTGTGATGACGCCGCGATTCCGCGTCGCGATTTTTTCGCCTTTTTCAGCATTTGAGCCTGCAAATTATGTTCCAAGGTTAGGCCATCACCAAAGCAAAAGCAAATATTAATTAATTAATTAATTGAATGGGGGGAAATGGGATTATTTTTGGGAGGTGGTGAACTTTTTCACAACAGGTTCACACAAACTATATGGAAGGGATTCAAATTTTTGAAAAAATGAAAAAACAAAACTGAATAGCTTACCCGTAATGCAGATTTCAATATTGTGATTGTACCAGGTGGTTGAATATGTGGTTCACCGTCTACTTGCACCGGCCATTCTTCATGTGTTGTGATACGAATCTGCAAACAAAATTTGGGGAGTGCTCGAGGGTGCTCTGAACCTAGGAATTCTCAAAAACTGCAAAAAAAATCATCCTACAAACACCATAAAAACTTACACTTCCACCCTGAGCAATACGAATACCAGCAGCTAATTTCGATTGAATCAATCCAAGCCGTGAAACATCAGAAATGCCCACAACCTCAAGCAAACCGTCATAATGAGTGGGTTTCGAGAAGACGCCCTCTTCTTTTGCAGTTCCCCATGGATTTGCACCACTTCCCCAACTCAATAAATTCAATACAACGATTCCTTCAATGTTTGGCAATTCAATCGCTTTTCCATCGACCTAAATGTTTTTTTTTGAATATATATTGATTTCTGGAATTATTGAGCTGACCTCCAATTCAATACGCTTCCACAAATCTTTGCACGTCCTTTCGAAGAACATTTTTTGCAGTCCAATTTTGGCGTATTGTGTTTTGTTGAATAACCGAGATTGGAACTTTTCCGGATTTGCATCACGCTGGAAAATTTTGGAGTTGAAGTTTGATGTTTTAAAGTCAGAGGAACATTTTTTTGAATTGTTTTGAGGTAGATCAAAGATATATTTCCCTACAGTTTGAAAAATCCTACCTTATTATGGAATTTGAGACAAACATCAGCATCAATCCCAATACCAAAATAATTATTCATAATAATCATGCTCGTCTGATCTTCAGGATTATTCATCGTTTGTTCTGCTTCAACAGTATTTGTTTGAACCGTATTTGGCGCTTGACTTCGCTCCTCTTCATGGAACACAACAGCCCATCGATCGAGACGAACCTCGTCAGCTTCGATAACATCTTTGAGAATATCAAGTGGATTTTCTTCACCGGTATAACCGCCACCCCATCGGAGAACTCTCGCCAAATCATTACCCGTTCCAAGTGGAACTATTCCACATGGTGGAGAGAAGCACGCAGCATCCTGTAGATAAATATCGCATTTTTAAAATGAAACAATTTGATAAAGTTACCTGTTTCGCAATATCTAAACACTGTAGAACCCATCCAATAGTTCCATCACCACCGCAAGCCAAAATTTTATATTTCGGAATATTTCTAAACACATACAATCCGACGAGCGGACCACCTTTGAGCACATCGAATACTTGAAACGGATTCAACAATTTTCTGAATGATTGTATCAAATCAGTTCCTTGACAACCGCCGGATTTCACATTGACGAGAACCAAAAGTGGTTCCGCGTCTGCTGGAAGCATTTGTGGTTGAACATTTGGCAAGCACAACACATTCAATTTCTTGTCTTCATACACGGCATTTTGCAATTTTTGAACTGCTGCTGTTGCTGCTTTTGGCGTGTTGAATGTGATGACGAGACTACCGTATTCGAAATAAATTGGGCCGATTGCAGTGAATGGTTTTTCTAGAAACAAAACAAAAACATTTTTGTTTTCAATCAAAAGCTTACCCTTTGCACCTAGAAGTTTCAATAAAATTCGTTCATATTGTCGTTGGGCTAGAGAAACTGGCAAATTTCCAACAAATACCGCATGATCATGAGGATCCTCTTTCTCTTGCACATAAAATCGAACAACATGATAACGACGAAGTGAATCTTTGCGAAGATTCCGCACAAGTTGCAACATATTTTCCTGTGGATTACATGTCCTCTCAGCTACTCCTCGATCCAAAGACACTTCAATCAAATTATAACGATTCCATGTTGAACCATCTAATCCAAATTTATCCAAAGCTTCGGTGACTAAATCTTGCACTACGGTATCTTTCAGAATTATTAGATTGCAAAACGTGACTGGAACTCGTCGCAACCATCCACCATAGATTTTTACAGTATCAGTTTCTGGATCATCACGATATCTCAAGAAAATCTGTGCTCTTCGACCTTCGGGTCGTTTCACATTTCTCAAAGGCACCGGATCATCCAATGGTTCCTCTTCACCATCTCCAACAATTTGAGTAACATAATAATTCTCCGAATTATCCATGATATGAAACCGTCGAAGTGCTGCGTCACGAATTTGTTGAACTGTCGCTGTTTTTGGAACACTGGCAGTTCGAGAAACTTGAGCTCGAAGCGAAGCATTGCCATCAAAGATTCGAAGAATCTCAACATCTTCACGTTCTTTCAAATCATCTCCACTTGAAGAAACATCATCGGCTTGGATTTTTGATGGTGAAGAGACTAAAAATGACAAAAATGAAGTGGTGAAAATCAGGTGGATATCTACAGGTACAATTTACAACACAACAATTTCAAGCTGGTAATCTACGTTTTTTTTCGGCTAGGAAGTAAAGATAGATAGAAGCAGTGATCGGAAAAATCGTTTGGATCAGGGCTGGTCAGAATCGGAGTTTGTTTGTAATTCTAGAAGATCAAAATCAGTTCGAATGTTTTTTTTTCGGAATTTTGGATTTTTTTCATCAATTTAAACCAATTTTTATGTCAGACTCCACTTTTAAAACTAAAAATCTCAAATTCCGAATTTTTTTTGCAAAATTTCAAAAGAACCCAGTCCCTTTTTGTCTGAAAATCTCCTCCAAAACATAAGAAAAACAATAATCGTGAACATTTCTAAAAAAAACGACAACACAAACGTAAATTACACCTTTGCGGACACATTGTTGAGAAAACAAGATAGGAAAAAAAGACTATAGGGTAGGCAAAATTCTCTGTTCTAAAATACTGTAGAGAATTTGATTTTGCAGCTATCCATCTTTTTCGGCCGTCATTTTTTTGTATTTTTTTTGCAAAAAAAAAGTTTTTTTTTATTGGTTTTACTATATTTTTTGATTTGACTCAAAAAACAGACGTGCCAAACAGATAGGATAGCGTTTAAATAATCTGACCCTTACGAGACTGTGGTTGATCGTGCGATGTGATGTTCAATAGTTGCTCCATTGGTAGTTCAGTTCGAGGAATTGTTAGGGAATTTGGTGGCAACATGATTTTCCGCAGCACACCAAATTCACATTCTTTACCCATTTGGCGATAACACAATGCGTGAGCCTGAAAATTTCACGGTATATTGGATTTGTGAAATAAAAAAAATTGGATTTGTGAAATTTGATCTACAGAATGTTAGAATATTTACCGTTTGGCCACACCATTCGCATCGCATTCCGGCTAAGCATTCTGTCGAAAAACACGATTTCCGACAGACCACACACTTCGAGTCTTTTGGCAAATTTCCTTCGCGCATATGATGATACTGTGTCATGTTAACATTCTCAATGTTTGGCACATATGTTGCGGCTTCTTTACAATCCGAAACTGCCAGATCCGAACAATCCACATGCACAAAATATTCACAGACTGAAACAAAAATCATTTTCGTAGCCTCCTTGATCAGAACTAACCTTCGCATTCAACTGAAAACGATTCATCGGTACGTTTTCGACAAACGCAACAATATTTTCGTTTGATGAGCGCGGGAGCCGACCAAGTATGTGCTACTGGATTTTTGATCAACTGCAAGGCTACACCGCTACAATAGGAGACGACTGTTTTCAGGCATTTGTCATGACACACGAAGTTGCAAACTGGAAATTTATTAGGGTTGAAGAAGGGTTCTAAGAGAACCCGTAGATCAAGATTCTGAATATGAGTGATGACGTGGCAAAGTTGGGTTATGACGTAAGAGAGTTCAAAAATTTTGATCGTACTTTCAGGAGACTAAAACTAACTTTTAAATTTGTTTTTATGAGAATCTGATATCATAAATTTGTTTAGGACAGTGAACTACACGAGTTCGTCTAGAATGTGCAAAAATATTATCTCCCTGTGTCAAGGAGCCACTCCTTGAGGCTTTTCATATGCCAAGGAGCCACGCCTTGAGGGCTTTTCATATGCCCAGGAGTCATTCCTTGAGGGTTTTTCATATGTCAAGGTGCAACACCTTGAGGGATTTTCATGTGTCAAGGAGCCACGCCTTGAGGGCTTTTCATATGCCAACGAGCCACGCTTTGAGGGCTTTTCATGTTTCAAGGAGCCAAGCCTTGAGGGCTTTTCATGTTTCAAGGAGCCACGCCTTGAGGGCTTTCCAAATGCCAAGGTGACACTCTTTGAAGGATTTTCATGTGTCAAGGAGTCAATCCATGAGGGCTTCATATGTGCCAAGGAGCCACTCCTTGAAGGCTTCTCATATTCCAAAAGAGCCACTTCTTGAAGGCTTTTCATATTCGAAAGAGCCACGCTTTGGGGGCTTTTCATGTTTCAAGGAGTCATGCCTTGAACTTCAGAAAAGCCTCCCATATGTAAACCCCTGTGCTACCAGAGTAATTTTTCCTAAATTCTTCCACGTCATTACTCATTTTTAAAGTTGACCTTTCTTAGTTCTGACCAAAAAATGTTTTTTCCCCTATCAAAAATCCCATGCCATCCTGAAAAAATTACAGTCAGCTCAAACTCACTTTCACACGCATATCCTTGTGTCAGCATTCCCCAGATTTTGTCGCAACAATGATGACAATACGTTGGTTTCCCAAAGGTCTTCTTGGAAAAATAGTGACCATGGTCACGACCGATCGTTAGCAGATTCGCGTCAACGTTATGACCCTCAGTTGCCATCTGAATACGGATTTTTTGAATAAAATATCGGATGAGAATATCCATCGAGTGATTTTTTATTTTGAATTTTTTTTAGAATATAATCGCAACGCTTAAACGCGTCGCAAACAATATATATATATATATATAAATATTGTTTGTTATTGTTTCAGAAAAAAATTGAGAGAGAAAAAATGCCTTCGTTGATAAAATCAAAACATCCATTTTTCCGGAAGTCTAACGTTTTTTTTTTTTTTGAACTTTTCTTCGAATACTACTGTAACTATATTAAATACAATTTTTAAGAAGGATTATTTTTTATAGAAAAAAAAACCCAGGGTACTTTTTTTTTGGAAATTTCTGAAAATCGATAAAAAATTTTTGGGCAAGTTAGAATTACTGCTAGAATTTGAAATATTGATTGATTCAGGTCAAAATGTTTTCAGATTAAATTTTTTTGATCTCTAGTAAATCGAACACGGTGGTAATATATTGGACAACTGGATTTTCAAGTAAAAAATTTGGAGCCAACTTCGGAGCTCAGAAAATGATCACCGAATCTCCAAACAAGATTTTCATCAAATTTAGGTCTCAAACTTTTTTTCTCGATTTCTTGATCTACTGAATCAGAAAATAGTGACCCTTTTTTGGATATTTATATTTTCAAAAAAAAAAAATTCAGAGCAGAGTTTGGAGGTTTTTTATGATCCAATATTTTTTTCTAAAATATTATTAATTTTAAAGATTTTCAGAATCTAACCTTCTAGAGTTTTCCCTTTAAAAAAATCTCACCATGTTCATCTACAGTAGTCCTAATAAGAGCCCGGAAACATTAGAATAATTTTTATATGAATGAATCAAGCAAAGAAAAAAAAAGTGTTTTTTTCGATTCATTCAAGTAACATCTAATGAGATCTCATCATTAGTCAACTATTCATCGTTTCTTTTTTCTTTTTCATTTTCTTGAAAAGATAAGATGATGAACTCACGCGGATGTTATCATCATCAACACGATTACGTCGAGGTGACGGACGTCTAGAAATCAGGTCACGCAGCATGACTAGTCAGCCAGCCAGTTAGTTAGTTTAGTCAGGCAGGCAGTCAAAAAATATGTGTGTAAGGACAGAGTGTTTCAGCCAGCTCTTTTATAGGAAAATCTTGAAATCCCGCCTATTAGAAAAAAAAAACTTTTCGTACTTATTAGTTTTCTAGATTTTCAAGAGATTTTATTGTAGTTTTAAGCGGGGAGGAGCTACAGTACCCCCGGATTATTACTATTTTTTGGGGGGTTTATGGGGAATTGCAAGGTCCTTTACTGAAGCCTATTGGAATACTGTACATCATGGATGAAGAGAATTTCAGACAATTTTTAGGATCTCTAGAAATTTTCTGAAAATCTTCAAAAAAAATTTTTAGAGATATTTCACGTGATTTTCGATTCTAATAAAAAATAATTTCAATTTTGAAAATGTCTGCGTCTAATTTTTTACAGGGCTACATTTCTAGCCTTATTTAGATTCAAAATTATCCAAACTTCCTTATCTATCTAATATGAGCAATGTCTCATATCTGATAATTAAGCTTGATTCAAAGCCCCTTCTCTTTACAGTAACCACTTCCACTGACGTGATCTTCAAAATCCCCCGCTTTTGAATATAAAAAACACATTTTTCGTAGTAATTAATACATTTTCAAGATATTTTTATGTAGTTTTAAGCGGGGAGGAGCTACAGTACCCCGGATTTTACGAATTTTTTTCTGGAGGTTTAGTATACTTGAAAAAAATGTAAGACTCACCGATGAGATATGGAATAAACGCAAGGAAAACGAGGAAAATTAGGTCAGCATTAGTTGTTAGAAAAAACCATTGAATTGAAGTGTGATTTTCGCCAAACCAATCTATATTTTATAGGAATTGGATTTTTTTTTCAAAAAAAAAAAAAATTTGGTTTTGAAAAAAAAACACGACGAAAAATTGTTTGTTGAACCAAGCACACCTTATTTTTTGTTGGTTGAAACGTTCAGCTGTAAAAAAATAAAATGTGGAATTTTTATATTTTTTTTTTGAAATAACACAAAAAAACACGGAGAGAGAGAGTGAAGAGAGAGGGAAAAATAACGAGAAAAAAAATATACATATAAATATATCGGCAAAAATATACATGTCGGAAAAAATATACATAGATGGAGATATTAAACAAATAGGCCGGAAATTTCCAACCTCCGGTTTGTGTTACTACCGTGAATCAAACGTCAAATCATTTTCGTTTTTATTTTTGGAATTTTTTCAGACTTTTTTTGAGAGATGGAAATTGATCGATATTTTTTTCTAAAAAGGAAAAATTATGTATACAGAAATGGTGAGAGATTTATAGAAAAATATTATTGATCCACAAAAAAGTTTAAAAAATTTTTCGAAATTTGACAAAGGGCTAAAATCTGTGTGACACAAAAATAAGAGATTCAAAAAAAATTTCAAAAATCCAGAATTATGGTAAATCACACACTGTGCTGAATTTTTCCCGAATTTTTCAACAAAAAATTGATTTAAAAACTTGTCTTCTAAATATTTACAAAACTTTCTGAAAATCCTACACACAAAATACTAGAGATTTAGGGTAAATTTAGGGTAAAGACTGTACAGCATTTCAAAAAATTTTTTCTACAAATACTACAAAATAAGTCACAAACACACGTCATTTTTTCGGTTTGTGTGTTTTTTTTCAAAAAAAAAAATTCCAATCAGAGCAAAAACCAACGAAGCACAAAAAAGAAAAGAAAAAAAGCAAGACCGAGAGAAAAAACAACATTGTACACATAAATATTTTTGTTCTTCTTCTTCTTCTGGAAAACGAAGGAGAAGACTCAACATTTAAAAAAAGCGAGAAAAAGCCGGGGCTACCACACAGCCAAAAAACGAGAAAAAAAAACGTCACTTCCGCACATAAGATTCCAAAAACGCGAATAAGAAGAAGAAAATAAGTAGTTGAAAAAAAAACGACGGCAAAAGTCAGTCGACGGCAATGAAAAGAGCGCAGAAAAGAAGCTGAATACGTGATTCTGCATTTTCGCGTGACTGATTTCAGATGAGTTAGTAGTTTTTCTCTTTTTTTTTGTGTTGCTCTCTCTTTTTTTCCGCTTTTTTTGACTCATCCAACCCTCATTTTATCTTTATAAATTTATGTGCATTTTTTTTCGATTCTTGGAAATTTTTTTTTTACTAGAAGTTTGGCTGGAAAATTTCAGATGGGGTTTTGTGATCTTGATTCACCCAAGCTTGGTCCAAAACTATCGATATACCTAGTTAGTTGGCACCGGGAATCGAACCCGTGACCTTGAGATTAACAGATTCCACCGCTACCACTTCTTCCCTAGTTTGACTCATCAAATTTTTTTTTGGTTTTTGGAACTTCATCTCGGAAACCTCTTTTTACCAGAAGTTCAGCTTGAAAATCGTAGTAAAAACGGATTATTTTCCAGTTTTTTAGTAACCAAAACTACATTTATTGTTCAATAAATTTTTCGGAATTCCAAAGATTATTCAGAAAAAAAATAAATTCAAATGGGGGATCTCAGAACTTTTTTTCGGAATGATTCAAAAAATCAATAATGAAGTGAATTTGAATCTACATACATAGAAAAATGAACGCTCAAAGTCGCAACTCACCTCGAGTTGTTGAACACGACTACGGTAACTACTGCTGATGTGAAGATGGATATATTTTATCGGCGAAAGCTCAATTGACTAATTGAAAAGTAGCGGCGACATTTTTTGTCATTGAAAAACGAAACTTATTTGAGACACGATTCTGTGACGGATTAATACGAAACTTTCAGTGTCGACACAAAAATAGACTGATGAACACGTACCTTCTCAAAAAGAACATTCCACATTTTTTTGAGAAGAGAGTAAAAATCATTGGGGATTTTTTCAAAAGGCTTTTAGACCTCCCAGGGTTTTTAAAAACCAAGAAATTTAACTTTCATAGTTATTGATGATTCCTAAGCTTCTGGGCCTTTCAGGACTTTCAAAACCACCAAGACTTCAGGGGCTTCCCCCTTCTCAGTTTCTTAAAGACTTCCAGCGAAAAAAAATAAATGAACACGTACCTTTGAACAAAAACTCTCAGCAAAAAAAAAAAGCGGCAAGAAAAATTCCACATTTTTCAACTAAAATGCGAAGAGAGTGAGAAAAGAGACGAAGAAATGCACAAAAACGCTTAAAGAAGGCAATTAACATCAGACAAAGAACAGATAAAAAGCCAAAGGCCTTCTATTCAATATCCAATTTTATTTTTATTTTTTCTCTAATGGGGCTATTCATGTATTTTCTCAGCATGTTGAGAAAACAGGAGAAATGCGGAGGAAATACATTTTCTCCGCTTTTTTCGTATTTTCTCAGCCTACCTGAATAGGTTTTCTCCGCTTTTCTCCCGTTTTCTCAGCGTTGAAAAATATCATGAATAGCCCCATAAACAAAAAAATTAATCGTTCATTTTCATCCTCTTTTTCACTTTTCACGACACTATTTTTTCAAAGTCAGTTTTTTTTTGTTCATTTTCCATTTGGTCCTTAGTTACGGTAACTTTCGGTGAGATTCCCTAAGTCGTTAGCTAACTGGAAATAAAAAAATAGGGGAAAAAATGAGGTACTAATGAGATCTTGACACAAGCCGAACATTGCATAAAAAATGGAACGAAGAAAATGAGAAGAAGAGAAGAAGAACTTTAGCGATGTTTCTCGAGAAACTCGTTGATTAGCCGAATTTGTTAATTGGACTACACCTAGAAAAAAAAGCTGGCACGGGCTACTGTAACTTAAAAATAAATCTGAAGCTTTTTTTCTTTTTTTCAGACAAAAAAAAGATGAGAAATAGCCGAATATAGATATATCTTCAAGATTTATGACACATTCATTTTTCGAAAAATCCAATTTAAAACAAACATTGTTCAAAATAAATTCATAGAAATTTTGCCCTTCAAGGGTTGGCATAAAATATGAAATGAAAACGATAGAATAGAATTCCAAAACCACTCGAAACACCTACGAATTTATACTTGAGACGTTATAGATGTATTTGTTTAATTTTCAAAGTGCAATTTAATTTTGTTTTCAGACATTGAGGAATTCTAGTAAGTATAAATTGTAGAGTCCCGTGAGATGAAATGATGAGAGATGGTAGTAAAACTATAAAGTACATTGGAGTGTTTGTGGGATTCATTTTATGCTGTAAGTTAGGGTAACTTTAATTTCGACGTAACAGGATTCTAGGACAAACTGGGAACGAAAAAGTTTTAGAGAATCGTATTCCAGAACTTCTGTGAATCTTAGAAGGATTTCTGCGAATTTGGAAGCTTCTAGGGTTTGTAACCAAGCTAGACTTCTAGAGATTTTGAAGCTATCAGGATCTTTGAAATCTCCCTAGTCCTACAAAGGCTTCCCAGACCTCCATGGATTTGAGACCACCCAGAGAGAAGCGACCTAGGGCTTTTGAGAATTACAGGGTTCCAAAGCCTACCGGGGATTTTCAGAAACCTGAGGAGCTTCTAAGATTTCTTAGCTTCCAGGCTTCCCAGAGTTATATTGAAAAGGTGCACGAGCGTTTCCGGATTTTTTTTTTGAAATTCATTTTATTTTTCAAGATTTCAAAGAAGCGATCATGATTAATCAAAGAATGCAAATGAAGTGACTTGAAGAAAAGAACTGAATGGATGGATAGATGGAAAGAAGAAGAAGAAGAAGAAAAAAAAGAAACGGGTGCAAAAAATGGAGAATGGAATCCAATTTTGGTGGTTTTGTTTGGTAGTCCAAAACCAAAGAGAGGAAAGGAAAAAACGAAGGAAAAAACGAGCGAGGAACGACGAAAGTTTTTGGTTTGTGAAAAAATATACTTTTGTTTCGCCTTGCTCCTGTGTTCGTTCGTTATGTTAAAAACGAAGATTTTTTTGGAGCTTGTTTCAGAAAAAAAGTGTTGGAAATTGAATTGTTCGAACTACCAAAACCTAGAGAGTGAAAAAAGTATGACAAAGTAAAAAGAGAAATGGAGATCCAAAGATCAGAATTCTGATATTTTTCAGATGTTTTTACTTTCAGTTAAAGAAGGATCTGACATGAGGATCCATTTGTTTAAAAAAAAAATTTCAATTCGAAAATTCGTCTCCTGATTTAAAAAAAAATTATTGACAAATTTCGATGAAAATCCGACAGCTACTGGATTTTACACAGTGTTTCACTGTATTTGAAATATTTTGGGTAATCTTTGAGAAGCTTACAAAAAATCATGGTTCAAAGAATTATTTTTTTGATTTTCAGATAATTCCCAGCAAAGTCAAAATTCGAAGAACTAACCAGGATTATGTACAAAATTAAGAATTAAAAGTTCAGAGTTGGTCTAAAAAGATCACATTTTGGAAAGCGATGTCACATGTTCAAAGTTAATGAGTTTTATTTTGATGCAAATAGAATTTTTTCAAAAAAAAAACGAAATTTTCTAAAGATCAAGATCAAAACCCCACCTTACTTCAAAATAAACCAATAAAAATGTCCAGCCAAAACAGATTTGCGTGTCTGAAAGAAAAAGTATGATTTTTGCATATCTGAGAAAAATAAAATAAAAATCAAGTAAAGAAAAGAAAGAAAAATGTGGGGAAAAGGGGGAAAACGCCAAGAAATCAGTGCATAATTCAGTTAGTCGTAATTTAGCGACTGACTGACTGACTGACTGCCAAAAATTGTTGGTACGGCAAAACGAAGGGGGGAGAAGGAGAAGCATCACGGAGAAAAGAAAATGACGACAGAAAATTGGAAAAAAAAGAGAAAAA